CCCCGCCGCGAGGGGTAAGTCCACTTGGCCACGAGGGGGGTAAGTCCACTTGGTAAGTCCACCCTAATCTATCTCAGTGTAGCAAAGCACATCACCTACTTCAAAGGGAGGAAGAAAGATAATCGACAATTTGTTTGGGAAAGGACACATGTACTTGTATCGGTTTCCCCTCCCCAAACATAATAACACTGTCACAGAGAACTGATTTCTGCATTGCATAAACAATACAATGGGATTTGCCAAGGATTTAACTTTGATTTCCGCCCAGAACTTAATCTAACCAAATGGTGTCCATAAAACCTAGCTTGTTATACTATTTGCGCTATAAAAGTCTTCAAAGAAGAGACTGGGATCCCCAATTTCCCCCTCATTAGGAGATATCTTCTCGTGTGTGCAACCATTATTGCAGTGATCTACCAATAAAGTTTGCACCTTCTGGGTCCAATCCAATTGTTTTGAGATGTGTCTTATTTTTGCCACCACCTGAACACTTTTGAGGTAAAAAGGTAGCCCCGAGAATCCTGGCACTTTGCTCCTGCTATCGGGTTCCAACAGCTGGCTCCAGACCCCATAGTGGGGAGGGAATGTGTGGGTGACTCTGCGTTGGCCTTGCCGCCTGACACACATGCCCTTGAAGACCACGCACTGCTCTTCCACCCTGCTCTCACCCAGTTTGGTGTAGTGGTTAGGAACGTGGGCTCTAATCTGGGAGAACCGGGTTTGATTACCCAATCCTCCGCTTGCAGCTGCTGGTGTGACCTGGGGTCAGTCACAAGTTCTCTCAGAGCTGTTCTCTCAAGGGCAGTCCTCGAAAGAGCTCCCTCAGCCCCACCTACCTCACAGGGTGTCTGTTGAGAGGGGAAGGGAAAGGAGATTGTAAGCCGCTCTGAGACTCCTTCGGGTAGTGAAGAGCAAGGTATAAATCCAATCTCTTCTTCTTCTCCCTTCAACAAACCTAACTGGACTTCACTCACTGAGACAGGCTCGTATGTCTTACTTTCTCCTTCTTCTCCATCCCACCCCTTTTTCTTTAGATTACTAATATTTGCTTAGGTTAGAATTTAATAGAAGTTAGGTCTGTTTAAGTCCAGTGGCACCTTTAAGACCAACAAAGTTTTATTCTGGCCTGGGCACAAGCTTTCGTGTGCAAGCACACTTCTTCAGATACAGTGAAACAGAATTTCCGCAACCATTACATATAGGAAGAGAGAGGGTGTGGGGGGTGTTTAGTTGCTAGGAAGGGCCAATTAGAGTCAAGACAGAGACAGAAACAAAATTGGAAATTAACCAGTCCACACTCTCTTCCTGTATGTAATGGCTGAGGAAATTCTGTTTCACTGTATCTGAGGAAGCGTGTGTGCAAACAAAAGCTCATCCCCAGTACAAATCTTTGTTGGTCTTGAAGGCGCCACTGGACTCAGACTGTGTTCTGCTGCTTCAGACCAACATGGCTCTCCACCTGAATTGATTTCATTTGTTTATGTGTTTCCAACTCTGTATTCAATTTGCTAATTCCCGTTTCTATTATTCTTTTTTAAAAAAAATAAATTCTTAACTTTAAACCCATGCTTGTTTATTTCTAAGAACCTGCATGCCCTTATAAGGCACTAGACCAAATCTTGGACCCTGGTAAACACTTGACAGTATGGTCCCAGTAATGACTGCTCTGAGTGTCAGGCACGCAATGGACTTCCGGACATGCTACAGGGGAATGTTCCTGTGGTCAGGGCACATACACGTGTCAGCCATGTAGGTAACACCCTCCGGTCCCCCCTTCTAGTACGCTGGGTATTAGAACTGAAACCTGTAGCCCCTTTAAAACAGGTGGCCAAAGGAAGCTCTCTCCCCAACACCTGGCTCTCCCCAAGTGAATCTGGGTGAAGTTAAAAGCAGGCCTCATTCAACACAGGTGTTTATCTCGTATGCATCGGCACAATCTCAGCATATCTACCAGAGCTGGCAACCATGAGGGGCGAGGAGGGCTGCTGAGGAGGGGTACGGTCACAGCCAGTGGTAAAATATCTCTGGTCCCTGGCATTACATTTCATGGCACATGTGGTCTGGCCCAACAACGCGACATTTACGTCAGATCTGGTCCTTGTGACGAATGAGTTCGATACCTCTGCTCTACGACTCCTTCTGAACGTGTAATAAGAAACCTTTACCAACATTATTAATTAAGCACTGGGCTTAAATGGGCCAAGATTCTGACTCGGTGCAAGGCAGCATCTCATTAAAAACCACAACTTTCACAGGCCCACAAGCCACAGAGAAAGAACACTTACTTTACAGGAGGTACTTCGTCTATTCTGTTGCCAAGCTGCGATTCGTGGGATTTGCTCCTTGTTAGCGTCGGGAAGTTGGGCAGCAGCTGGAAAACCTTCCGACTAGGTGGGGGCGGAGTCCGTGGGGGTTTCCTCCTCTTGAGCTGGGGGGTGGTGGGTGGTGTGACAGTGATGCTGTGGGGAGTCCTCAGGTTCCGCCCCCCACAGTGCGTCGGGAAGGCAAAAGATTCCAAGGGGTTATCCACACTGACCAGAGGTCCTTGGCTCGAGGGGGGGTTGTCCGAAGACGGAACTGTTGACACGGAGACAGAGCGAGGCTGCTGCCCGTTTCCCTTGGAAGACGAAAGGGTGCCGTGCATCCACATGACCCCCGCGGGGCAGGGGGAGAGTTCCGAAGGGGGCATCAGATGGTTCTCCCGGCGCACGTCTGATGAATTCCACACCAAATCGTCTTTGTACTCGCCACCTACACAGATAGAGGACAGCTTCAGTATGAGCAGAGGGCACAGAGTGCCAAGGAGCGGGCCACACAGGCGGCCTGCTGCCCCGGAGGTTGTCTCCTGTGGGCTGCAAAGTTCCGGATTTTCAATCTGAGCACCACCTGCTAAGGGTGCCTGCCTCGTCAGACCTTGGGTTTCAGAAGCAAGTCCCCATGACCCCATAGCCTGGTGCATCACAAGCAATGCTCCCTCTAAGCTGTGGAGTCTTGTGAGCAAAAATTCTACCTTATGAGCTACTGGCATTAAAGTTGTGAGCGAGCGATTTGGCTACTGCATAAATTAGTGTGCTCTTCTGGAGCCCTCCTTCCTGAGCCAAGACAAAAATGTTTGAGCCGGAGGCTAAAAACCTGTGAGCTCACACTAATTCACCTTAGAGGGATCAGTGATCAGAAGTCCCTGGTTCAAATTCCCCTCCCTCCCCCATGAACTCACTTGATGGCCTTAGACAAGCAACCAGCCTCTCAGCTTCCATTCGACTCCATCTGCCAACTGGGCTGTGCAGGGTGGGCATGACTTCTTTACTGTGGGCAGGGTTTTGTCTGCAGCAGCCCTCTGTTATCAATGAGCCAAGCAGACCGAGAGTGCAGAGCCAAGCAGACCAAGAGTGCAGACGACGCAAAACAAAGACAATGAAGTTCTTTGGACAGAGAGTTGGGGGGGGGCTCTCAGTCTGCTCTCTTAAGCAATTCCCTCTTTGCTCCAGTTTTTTTTGTGTCCCCACCCCCACCCCAGTTACTTGAGAAGGAGAGCAGCCTGCCTCCGGGCTGTTCACACATCTGTGATGTACAGCATTCTGCACAACAAGAGAAAATGCTACATGGATGAGAGGGGCTGTGTACCCAGGTAACAAGGGCCAGAACTTAAATCAAATATGTGAAGGCAGTCCAGAAGCACGCAGCACGATTACAGCTTTTAAAGCGTCCCGGAGCAGACATGCTTCTCTTCAATCAGAAGCTCCCAAAATTCACCGGGGGGGGGGAGGGATGGTGACTCAGCTACGTTCCCAAGTTCATAACCAGTCTCATCATTTCAGAACTCTTTTTTTATATATATAAGTACCCGAGGGTACACTTTTATTATTTTTTCCCCATTATATACTACAGACATACAGACATACATACAAACAACCCCCAACTACCCCCCACAACATATAACATATAACAAGAGACTTTATTATTTCTTCTGCTTATTAAATTTCTAAATTCATTATCTATTGTACTAAGCTTATCTTTTCTGCGTTCTCAAATTACCACATTTATCTATCAGTTACATTTACATTATACCAATCATAGAATCTCTTCCACGTTTTTTGAAAAGTCTATTCTGTACCGGCTCTCATCTCAAGTGTCAGTTTGTCATTTTCCGCCGTTTCAAATAGCTTGTTCACGTACTCTTGTTTCGTTGGTATTTCCATTATTTTCCAATATTTGGCATATACTATCCTTGCAGCTGTTGACAGATGAACTATCAAATACCTATCTGCTTTATCAGTCTTTCGGAAATATATTCAATAACAGTATCTCTGGAGTAAACGTGATATTAGTTCTTATTGTTTTTTCCATTATCTCATGAATCCATCTCCAATACCTCTTTGTAACATCACATAACCACATGTGATAAAAAGAACCAGTCTTATTTTTACATTTCCAACATTTATCAGAGCAATTAACATTTTGTTTAGCTAATCTATCTGGTGTAATATACCATCTATAAAACATCTTATACATGTTCTCTTTATATGACACAGCATTAGTTAATTTTATATTTTTCCACCAAATCTGCTCCCACTCTTCAAAATTAATATTACGGCCTATATTCTGGGCCCACATAATCATATTTTTTCACCATTTCATCAGCCATCACATCGTCCAATAAAATTTTATATATTTTCTTTAGCACTTTGTTTTCTGCTGTTAAAACAGTTTCTTCCAGTTTAGTTATTTTATTATTTTTCAAATATATCGATTCCAGTTGCGCTTTCTTCCACCAGGATAATTGTTCTGGTAATTTCAGATTGTCTTTTTTATCTTAATGATTCTTCTCCCACATATACATTAGGTAAGGTAAATGCCTCTAAAGGTATAATCAGTCTTGATCTTTTAGTATAAAAGTTT